AGAAGAGCAAGGATGCAGAGCGTGCAGCAATGAAGAAAAGGAAGGCATCAGCTTCATCAGATTCTTCAGCTCCGAAGAAGATGAAGCCTTTGACAAGCTCATTTGACAACCCAATTGATGCCATTCTTGTCTCATCCATGCCATCAAAGGACCTTGTTCCTTTTGATGAAGAGTATGTGATTCCAAGTGAATCAGATGAAGACATTCCTTCTGCTGCTTCGTCAGAGCAGTTGGATGAAGAAATTGAAGTGGATACAATCCCTTCAACACCAATTGTTTCCTCGCCTATGGCTCAGTTTACTGCTGAAGAGGCTGGCATTGAAGAAATGGCAGATGAAGATATGGGCATTGGCTGTACCACTCCTGTGATGAATGATGACTTTTGGGAAAGTCAGCACCCCAACTCTCCACTGTTCACTCATCTTCAACAAATTCCTCAGTCCCCTATTGCTACTGAAGTACAAATGGGATCTGAAGAACCTCATGCAACCCCATCTGTCCATGAAGAAATTCCAGCCACTAGTGCTGATGATCAAGTCAATGAAGAATTGATGACCCAGGCTGCAACTGAAGAAGAGCCCGAAATTCCTCATCCTGAGGAACCTGAGATTGCGATTCCTGAGGTGGTGATGCAATTGACCGATACTCCTCACCCCACGCCAAAGGATCCCTTCTCAAAGAAGCAAAAATTCAAGGTTGATGATTTCTTTGGCGAGCATGTTTTCTTCACTGAATTCAACCCATGACTCTGCTCGTCTTAGAAGGAGGCGCTTCTGGACTGCCAGCCAGGCCAACTTCTATTCTTCACTACTTTTCAACAAAGACAAAGTCTTCGAACACGCACATATTCCTCACGTGGATATGGAATCCATGCCTTGCTTCTCACCAGTCCTTAGAGTAATTCACGATGCAGGACTGCTCAACTTTTGCACTGACATTGTTGATTGGAATGAAGAGCTTATTCTTCAGTTCCATGGAACGCTGCACATCACAGGTGATGCTGATGATATCAACACTTGGGTGTTGGACTGGATGACCGACAATAGTCATTATAAGGCACCGGCCTCTGAATTACTTGATGCCCTGCCACTTAGTCCTCCACCTGAAGGTGCTCGTTGTCTGTATCAAGAACCTGAACTTACTGCTCATTACATGGAAGTGCTAATGAAGCCATTGAAGCCCGGTCAAGCCCCAAGGATTGAATTCCTCATGAAAGACTTACTGTATGTGCCAAGAACAGTCTATCGCATTCTGAAGAATACTTTGAGTCCTATCAAAGGCCACGACTCATCTGATGAGGACATTGTTGGCATCATGAAGAATCTGCTATTCAACATCATGCATGGCATTCCTGTCAATTATCATGATTTCTTCATAAGGACTCTGGCAAATGTTGCACAATCTCTGTTTGAGCTGAAGCCTTATGCTCCTAGGATTATGAGATTCATCAGAACAAGGTCTTCACTCAACTACAAAGCAGATACACTCAACCATGGCAGCTACTTGCCCCCCATTGAAGTCCTCAAGCGGACATTTTCCTCAACTGATGAAAAGGGAAAGGCCACTGCTATTGTTGATGAAGGCATTCGTCCATTGGATGGCCAGTTTCACAAAGCTGCATCTTATTCCACCAATGATGACTCTGCCACTCATGATTCTGCCGCCAATGCTCCCAAGTCAAATCCTCAAGCTACTGCTTCTTGTGTGATGACTGACTGTGAACTGTTTCTTAGTCTTCACGAGAAGGTGGATCAAAACCACAAATGGGTTAAGGGTCAGTTTGGTTCTATTCTTCACAACATGACCTCTACACATAATGTAGTGAACAAAAACTATTACTACCTCCATGAAGTCTTCGATCGCACCTGGGCTATTTTGTCACATCTATATGATGAAGAAGATCTGAAGCAAATGGGCTTCAAGGACGATTTTGACTGGTCTGCTCCTCCACCGAAGAAATACAAGCGAGTCAAAGTTCCTCATTTGGTAGCCAGCTCATATTATTCATCCCGCGACATGGACGAGTATGAAGACTTGGACGACACTGCGGCAGGCCCTACAACGACAGAAGACCCCAACAATGCTGGCGTTCCTTCATCCTCATGATATTCTTCAGGGGCGTTAGTCCTCATTTTTAAACCCTTTTGGTCGTTCGATGACAAAGGGAGAGAAATTTGAGTTAGTCTTCAAGCGGGTCTATCTTATGGGCATTTTTTTGCTAAGTTACAACTCTCGTTCTTTTGATGACTTTGCTGGATTGAGTTGTAAACTTAAACTCTATGGTGGCCTGATACTTTTGTTGAGTTCTTCTGCATGCTTATTCCTCATTAATGTCATTACAGGCATGCTGAATTACATCAGTCACCATATTTCATCATGCATTTCAAATTCTTCATATTATATGTCAAATGCGTGTATGAATTACAAGATATAGGGGGAGATCTCCATGATTATACTCTTCAAGTGTGCATTGCTTCAAAAGCAAATTCCTCACTATGCACATCTTCAGGGGGAGTTCTTCTATATCTTGCAATCAAATTCCTCAATATCAGTATTTACACTTCATATGTTTATCCACGTTGAAAACTTAACCTATATTGTCATCAATCACCAAAAAGGGGGAGATTGTAAGTGCATCTAGTGCCCCTTAGTGATTTTGGTGTATTGAAGACTTATATGTTAAGGGACTGATGCGTTTGTGAGTGTACACAGGTCTATAAGTCTATGAGGAGTTTCATATTTACAGAGAAAGTCGACCCCTAAAAATGAAGTTCTTCGACTGAAGACTTTGGATTTCTAAAGACTTTCTGAATACTTTGAAAGTGAAGAACTTGGTGTGACCTTGAAGACTTGGAATTCATTTGAGGAACATGAAGCGTGAAGACTTTTGTTTTCGTAGTTCATTTTCTCTTCCTTGAGTCATAGGAAACACCGTACTGTTAAAGGGGGTCGAGGAAATACTAAGGAAAAATTTCCATGTGATGCTCAACTCAAAATCCTACACCTACCAATCTCTTCGAGTGAAGCCATTGGAAATCTCATACAGTTCAGTTATATTCTTCAGTGACAGAGATGAAGTTCTTCTGGTCTCTGAGGAATTTGTTCTGACTGAGGAGTTAGGAATTCGCCAGTGCGGATTGCCTACACAGTGAGGAACATGATAGCCCTGAGGAATTTGAGAGTCAAAATTCTGACCATTGATGTACTACACGCCAGCTGTCCCAAAATATCTAGACACCTAATAATCATATTATTAAAGGGCATTTATGTCTTATCATGTCGGGCTATTCCTTAGGCTATAAATAGCCGCCCCCTACAACCACTAGCTGGTTGGCTGCTCCAAGAGAAACTAACACTTGTCATTTGAGAGCATCCCATCCTCCGAGGACTTTGAGCGAAAATCATCAAGTGAGGAAAACCCAAAACCCAAACCCAAACACCTTCAAACCCAAGTGATTGAGCATCACCGACGCTTGTTACCTTTAAAGACTGTGCTTCTTCTAGACGGTTAGGCGTTAAGCTCTAGAGAATCCAAGAGGAATTGTGGATCGCCGAGTGACCGAGTTTGTGAAGGTTCGGATGTCACCTGAAGACTTACCACGAGTGATTGGGCGAGGTCTGTGTGACTTTAGATCAAGGAGAATACGGTGAGGACTGTGTGTCCTTTGGTTTAAATACCTAGCCACTCCAACTAGATGTACAACCGAGACAACAGTTGGAACTGGTCTAACAAATCATTGTCTTCACCAAGCCTACTGGTTCTATTTCCTCAACTCTTTCAATTCCTCATGTCACTTGTTGTGTGCTTGTTCATATTTGTTTGAAGACTTTGACTGAAGACTTTCTCTATTTCCTCAGTTCAATTTCTTCAGTCTGTGTGTCTTCATCTTGTGTTATCTTGTGTTTACGCTTTCTGTACTCTGTGTTTGTCTTCATTTCATCATGATGACTATGCTTGTATTCTATTATGTTTACTTCTGAGCACTTATTCCGCTGCAAGTAGTTCTTCGCTTAGGAATTTCCTCACCAGCAAATTCCTCAGTGAAGAATTCATAAAAATGGCCTATTCACCCCCCCTCTAGTCGATATAACGCACTTTCATTAATATCAATGGACCAATACTCATTTCAAACTACGAAAATAGAATGCCGACATAGACCAATGATATTCAACTATCTAAGAATCTCATGAGTTAAAAAGAGGAAGGCAAGACTATGGAAAAATCTGGGTGATTTGAGTACAGTTCAAACAAAACCTACATAGGTATACATAGGTTGCCATATGGAGCTGTAAACCAAGACAGAGGCTACCCAAGGCAGAACATGAAACAGTGACAAAGGAACATCAAAGCATTATATAGAACACTTGGCAATACACGGAGCAGAGAGCCTAATGCTTGAACTTTGATGGAGTTATCAATTTAAGCTTTAAACACTATTGTGAAGGAGCTTTACCTAGGCTGCAGCACCAGAGTACATGAATCCAAAAAAAACTAACCATTAGAATTAAGTCCCATGAGCCTAGTATTTAGAAACCTATAACTCTGGGTGTACATAAGATCATTCAGGGCACGGTGTAGGAGAATCAAACACTATATGTAGTCCATCAAAATTCAATCTTGTTCGAAACAGGGAATATCATCTGTAGCCAACAAGATCAACCATCAATGAGTCTACAAACATTCAAGAACTCAAAATCAGATTGTCAAAGAACCTATGCAATCAAGAGGAAATAACTGGGAGGAAGATGGCACAAAAGTACAACTGCAGAAATTCTACAAATAGATGGCTAGGCAAGAACTTGATAAACTATTCCTGCCTGCGATTGAAGCAGCAAGCAAGAGGCGGTGGAAGAGGACGAAGAAAGCTTACCTGGTGGCCGGCAGATTCAGTGCTCGGCGAGGGCAGACATGGGAAAGGTGAGGCCGGGGGCCGAGGGGCCGGGGCGCCAGAGGTCAGAGTATCTGTGCCGGAGGTCAGCGGTAGATACAACACCAACCCATGAGAAAATCCAGTGCCGCCGCAGTCGCCAGGAAGCTCGCCTCCGACCTCGCAGGGAAGAAAATACTGGGAGTAAGTGCGGTTTATGATTCTATATGTGCCTGTGTGTGTACTAATTTCTAGCGAGACACACAATGATCATAGTAACTAAATGATATGTGTTGTGTAGCTATTTCTAAATAGAATAGCACCTGAACTTGCTTTGCTTGTACTATTTGTCAAACAGCAAGAAAACAGGGGATCAATAGGTGTGTGTATTTATTAGGCAGTATGCATAGTGTCAACAGAAAAACAAATTTCTTTCTCTGCAGCCAACAAAAAAAATTCTTAAAATAGAGAAGGGGGAAATAGAGCGGACACATTACATGTATACTATACCATTATTCAACATTTCATGTCTATGATCGAACAATGGGCACTAATTCGGTAATTAGAAGGTCATGTCCACTGATACAAGCAATGACAGTCCGTAAACTGTCAGAACTCTTGAGCAAAATTGAACACGACAAAGCATTTAAGGTGCCATGTTTGAGAAGTGCAATAGCGTCACCTCAGAAGAATGTGGGCCTTAACGTCCAGGATGGTGCAGTACATGAAGCGCTCTAGGTTGGACGTCTGCCACCCGCCCTCAACCCTCAGTGAGTGAAGTTTGGTGCAGGGCTAGAATGGCCCATGTTATTTTTTGTCCTCATCCAACAAATACCGGTAGGAACTCGTCGTGTTCAGTGGATGAATCATTTTATCCTATTTCAAAATACTAATGAAAAGCCGATTCTTCTTACAATGACATGCCACATTTAAGTTATGCTTCAGTTAATCCTACCGCAATAAAACTAACCCAGTAGTATATATTCAAAAATTTCAGGTTTCAACACATGGACAATGGCAATATGTGGTAAAACAGGAAAGAATGCTCATAACTATGTATTCAAATGAAGTTTCTTTCCCTGCAAGATGATATTCCTATCTACGAACCAAAGGAGGCCTAAACAATAACTCAATTTTGATGCATCATTGCAGAGCGCCGGCGGCCAGAGATGGTGCCGTCTCTGCTGGCTAAATAAGCGTCCAACACAAAAATGAGCTGATCACAAACACAGATAGTTTCAATACCCAAATATGTATCGCCATAACTCTAGTTCTCCAAACTGAGAACCAACAAAGCCTATCTTTCATTTCAGGAATACTTCAAGGTGAATATGAAACTCCAAGGCTTACATTTGCAGTAAATTTCACAACTATATTCTTTTTGCTAAGATGTCATCTATAATCATAAAGGAAAACTGCATGAAAAGGTAAAAACAATGATAAGTTTATACGAGTTAGATAATGTGCCTCGTTGATTTGCATTCCTTAAATCCATTGCCATGGAAGTGCTGATGCACTCAACCTGTTTTTCAGGATGATCCATCACCTAAAGAAAAGTGAGAACACATTAATAAATTGAAGGTGTTAAGCTACATCTGCGTAATAAAGTGTAGACTTAAACCAATGTTTTTCTTGGAAAGGGTACCAGGGATACGCCCCAAAGCTAATTATCCACAATACATTTATTTTGTAAAAACTAACAAATAAAGACCAGTGTATCAGAAAACAATATATCTTTGATTAGGACTGTAATATAGAATGGTGCAGTTTACTGTCCGGCCCTGATTCAGAAATTAAAGCATATGTGTGCGTGGAAAGGGTAACAGGGATGTGCCCCAAAGCTAATTATCCGCAATACATTTATTCTGTAAAAACTAACAAATAAAGACCAGTGTATCAGCAAACAATATATCTTTGGTTAGGACCATAATATAGAATGGTGTAGTTTACTGTCCGGCCCTTATTCAGAAATCAAAGCATATGTGTGCGTGAAAAACAATGGAATGTTGATCTTGCAAGATGTGTGGGAATCCCACAAGAATCAAATATCTAAAGGATCTCCTCCCCACTGGATCCAGTGTCAGCAAGCCCCTGAGATGATGAACATGGTGAAAACAAAATCGAGCACCATAGAAAAATTGGGAATAAATCAACAAGGAAAAAGGCTAGACCGGAGCACTGGACCTAGGAGATGACTACGAACCTGACGGTTGTGGTGGATGACGAGGACCTCCTCCTCCTACTTGATGTGGTGATGTAGGACAAGGGCCACCCCTGCTCCTCCACAAGCACCAGAAGACCAAGCCACCCTTGCTCTCCCACAGTGGTGACCTGCGCCGATCTGGAACCACGACACATCTCTCCCACGACGATGACCTGCGCCGATCCGGAACCACGCCCCACGGTGGCGGCAACGAGCCATACGCTCCTCTCGTCGACGCGGCCATGCCGCTCATCACCGTGGAGTGCCCTGTCCTCGCTCACCTCACGCCTCACGACCAGCACGCTGGCGCCGACGGGGAGAGGAGAGGAGCGGACGGCCGTGGCCTCCTCCTCCTCACGTGTCTGTCCTCTCCCTCTTCTCGCTCTCCGCAAGCTGCGACCCACGCACTCGCACCGACGGGGAGAGGAGAGGACCCGGCAGCGGCAAGAGGGGATGAGGGTAGCGGGAGGAAGAAGAGGCCAGGAGGTAGGGTCCGGCACGGGGCAGAGGAGAGCGGTGGCGGCGGCGCCAGGCGGATACGGCATCACTAGTAGAAAAATGACCTAATATGAGACACATTAGTGCCGGTTTGATTTTGAGCCGACACTAATGTGTCCTTTAGTGCCAGTTCCAACGGCTAGCAGGCCGTTCTCATTAGTACCGGTTCGTGGCGAACCTTTAGCACCGGTTCGTGCCATGAACCGGTACTAAAGAGAGTGGTGGCAGGGTGTTGTCAGTCTGGGACCCCTCCAGCACCTTTAGTACCGGTTCATGGCACGAACTGGTACTAAAGGTCGACGTACATAAACCCTTCGTCCACCCGAGCCACTGTGTTCTTCCAGCTCTTAGTCACTGAAAGCGTACAAGCACGATTTGCACACAAATGTGCAGGACCATCGCTGATCTCATTACATGTTGAATAGTAAAAGAAGTAAAGCTAAAAGCTAGGTCTCCTAATACTTCCAACTTTGTTGAAAAGTCAAATTTTCTTATGTTTGACCGTATTTATACAATAATACACCAACATTTATGCCATCAAATTAGTAGCATTACATTCATGATAAAATGTATTTTCATCATATACCTATTTGGTTTCACAAACACCGATATATTTTTGCACAAACTTGGTCAAACTTTAAGATAGTTTGACCGTCCAACAAAGTTGGAAGTACACTCTTTTAAGGACGGAGGGAGTACTCGTTTACTAATGCTCTCAACAGTCACCGGACTACTCTTTTATTACTCGTCAGTGAATTATTAATTATGTTTATTGAGGTAGTGTCTTCTTTAGTTATTTCTTTCTCTATCTAGGATGACGTATTAAGAGATAATGCATTGGGAATTTGGGAGTGCCCTTAGTTGCATGCCACCGTTAGTAGAAATTTATCAATATTTGTACTCCCTCTGTCCAATTATATAGGGCCTAATGTGTTTTTTGAGGCTAACCTTAACCACTTGTTAGAGCAATAATATATGACATGCAAGTTATATAAAACATACCATCAAGTTCATACGTGAAACGAGCCTCCAATGTTATAATTTTCACATTGTACATCTCATATACAATATTCATCTTATCAATAGTCAAAGACATTCTCGAAAAACGCATTAGGCCTAGTATATATGGATGGAGGGAGTACGAACCCTACATCCTACAAGGTAAAGATTGTAAAATTGTAGTAAACACATAGTGCCTCAGAAAAAGGGCACACTCTTGCCAACTTTGATATCTATGTGTTCCAACCTGCTTTCTACATGCGCAAAGTATTTCAAGAGATTTTGGATTTAATTTTTCTTGTTGTATTCTAACATGATTCTTGCATCTACACCCTCATGCGATTATTTTGATAATAAATATTGTTATGCTTGGGTACTTTTCTGTTTTGTGCACAACATGTTATTGATTCTATCTTACTGGCAACTGTGCCACTTATAACGGCGAAAGTTTGGAACCCTCAGTGTATATGCACCTATTTTTCAATTAAAAATAGTAAACATAAAAAGTTTCAAAAATTCTTTTTTTGGCAACAAACGTAATCAAGTGTTCTACTCATGAATTTTTTGCCAAGGAATGACTTTGATGGTATTGTGGATGAAAAAAGAACAAAGTCACAAATGTGCTTTTCTCAACCCGAGCTCATGTGAGCTTGGGTGAACAGTAAAAAATAATCAAAAACTGATTTTGTTTTTGTGCCAAACATGGACAGATGTTTTGATTGGTTGCGAATTTTCATCACCGGATGACACTCGTGGGAAACTTGGCAAAAAAAATACAAAATCGATGTTCCAAAATGCTTTTGAAAATAACATTTTGGAGATTCTTGCTTTTTGCCACGTTTTTCATGAATGTCATATGGTGATGAAATATTGTAACCAATCAAAACATTTGTAATTGTTCGTCACAAAAAATATATCAGTTTTTTAAGTGTTCACTAGAGCTCACATGAGCTCGCGATCAAAACATCCACGTCTACAAAGTCAGCACTATATTGAAGTTACTATTCACGCTTTTTGTCCTTCAAATTTTGTTTTATTCATTGTTGAGAAAGTTGTTAACAGGTAGCTGCTCGGTTGGTTGCCGAGTTGGGGATTAATAGATTAATCGGTCATTTAATCAATTAATCGGATAATTTATCAGTTTATCAGCTACTCGGGACCCTACGAGTGGGGATTAATCAACAAGTTAATCGGCTATTTAATCAATTATCGGAAAATTTATCGGTTTGTCAGCTACTCGGTGACCCTACGAGCGGGGATTAATCAGCAAGTTAACTGATTAATCACATGAATTATTGAACATGGTTTTTATTTGCCAAAAAACCGATGGGAGTTTCTCGTTGGCCAATTTTTTTAATATGAGTACAGTAGAAGGTCAAGTTTGTTAACAAAAAAATTCGATTCTATATTTTTTTCTTCAATTTCTATTTGGCATATCGGGTGCATATGACCGGGGGGTCAAGGGGCATTTTTATAACAACACTAGTTTTTTTGGCGGTAATATAACAACACTAGTTGAACAACGGGTGGATGAATTGCTCATGACACATGCTTGTGTGTAATCACATAAGGTTATTCAGGAGCCGTATGTGTGATGCATTTTTATAAAACACAAGCATGTTATGATGTAATGCAGTACTCCCTCTGTTTCTTTCTATTTCGCATATAAGATTTGTTTAAAGTTAAACTATGTAAAGTTTGACAAAATTTATATATTACGATGAGTACGGCGTTTCGGTGCGCAGGCTCATCTGCACTCGGTTAAAAAACAATTCGTAAAAAATATTAGAAAAATTCAAAAAATTCAGAAAAAAGGATCTACAATATTAAAGTTATATAGTATGAAAACTAACTTTATGATGCATATAATGATATTGATTTCTTATTGTGAATGTGATTTTTTTTTCTATAAATTGGTTAAATTTTACAAAGTTTGACTTCAGACAAATTTTATATGAAGAATATAAAGAAACCGAGAGAGTATAACATGAGCGGATTGCCTATTATGTGTACTAGATGACCAGTTGCGCCAAATGGC